TATACTAAGTAGTTCCAGCGTTGACCGCTCGATAGCGCCGCTTACCCGCGCTAGAAAAAATCAGTCCGGGAACTTTCCGGACAAACTGTGTATTCTGTTACCTCGCGTGAGGTCGAGGATGCTGCGTGGGAGGGACGCCGAGGAGAATTATTATTATTTTACAACACTTATTAGGTTTTAATAAATTCATTTATTTCGTATTCTGTTTTTGTACACTTCCACTCACTCGCGATATCTTAAGTTCTTACGAGCGATGCTCTGATGGGCAGAGCCTTCGGCCGCGACACTATCCTAGACGATTCTGTCGTTTCCGCCCGGACACCGGCTTATATCCTAATCAATCACTCTGTGATTGGCCGAGGAAAACCAGGCAACATCCGGCCTTCGAAAAGTGCAATGAAAACCATTGCATCTTTTCGGCTGCACGTGCGACCTTCGACCGGTGCGTCCGTACGCACGCGGTCGCATATCGCCTCGCGACTGCTGACTGGACATCCGCGCCGGATTCCAGTCCCCCGTTTAAAGTAACACTAAACCCAGTAACCAAACCCCGAATTTAACCAATACTGCTTATTACGCAACACTTAATACATTAACTTAATACATAACCTAATACATAACTTAATACATAATTTATAACATCCTTTCTCTGTTGGAAGAGAAAAACTGACAGAGGAGGTTTTTCTTGCACTCACCACACACTGATATTTTAAAGAAGTGTAGTTGCTACCCCCTCAACGTGGGGTCCCCGACCTTTGCACTTGTGTTTTATCTGTGAAGGTCGTAGTTTACTTACATTACCGACAAAATGTACCCGTCGTGAACACTGCTGTTGTTGCGCGGTTGTTTTTTTACTTTTAATTACGATATATATTACAACGGCTATTATTAACAGTACTGTTATCGCACTTATGCTCGTGGGATACACAAAATATGGTTGTTTATAAAACTCTTGATCGAAATTGTTACTAGTTTTTTGTATCTGATTACTTATCGTCTGCAATTGTGTTTTGGCGTTTGTCAAATTTTGTAACTTTACCTCGTCAAATGCGTGTATGTTTTGTGGTACGGTTCTGTTTGTTTGTGTAAGTGTAATATTAAACTGTGGTAAGTACGTATTAATTTGCGCATGTTCTATTACTGATTTAGTGGTAACAAAAATATCTTTGGTTGAAAACCCACACTGATTCGTCAGTATTACTTTTCCAACCCCCGCTAAGGTTTCCGTTCTACTAGGTCCTTTTTCGCACCTGAAGGTTACAAACTGCTCGCCTAGCGTAGAATACAGCCATCTACATTTTTGTTGCGACTGAATCCAAATAGTGTGGTTGGACGTCTCATATGTCGTATTGCAATTTAAATAGTTGTTTAGTTCGTGTACGTATGCCTGTATCTCGCATGGCGAATTTGTCTGTACCTTATAAAGTGTTATTACGCTACCGCAGATGTAATGACCTTGAACATTTTTACACTTTTCTAGTTGATCTTGTGACAGTAATACATATGTCTGTCGGTTGCTGTCTATTGCAATAAGGGCATGTCGAACTCGCGCCACTGCAAACACGTTGCCGTGCACGTGTACCGGCAAGGGTATCACATTACAGATTTCGTCTTTGCACCACGGCGTGCACCGACGGTACGTTTACTACTATGAAGACATCCGATCCCTTGCAGTACACAGCAACCGTTACAATTTCCTTTATTTTTACCCAATTTTCTACTGTGATTTGGAATGGAAAGCGTNAATCACCTTGTAAATGGCCGCTTGTGTCGCGTAAACTTTGTATTATTTGTTCAATCGGAATGAATTCTAGTTGTGTAAGTTCGTCATCTGTTTTTGTTATGAGGTTTATTCTTTCTTTTATGTCTGATTCTAATTGTTGTAACATAATTGTGACGGATAACAGATGTTCGTTTAAAAGATTTCCTTGGTTTTGTCTATTTACCGACGTCATTATTTGCGACACGGAGTTTGCTAGCGTTTCTTCGTTACTTTGGATTATGCTTTCCACTCCGTCCAGGTGTGCTATGGTTGCATGTAACATTTTTAAGTGATTTTTTATTGCATGTTGTTCGGCTGTTTGTCTACTTTCTATTAGGTTGATGTGATCAGTGATCGCTTTTTCGTCATTCGCGTCCATCGTATCGAAGAGTTGCTTCGCTATTGAGCCGACTCCATTGACTAGCCCCCTACGCTTTCGTAACGAAAGCCTTACTATTATTTTAATTCGTTGGAAAATTTGAGTTACCACTTGTTCTCTACTTCGTAGTTTGGAATAAACGTCTTCACAGCTTACTTTGTTATTGTCACGGACCTCTACACTTGCGCACATTTTTCCCGTAATCTGTATTATTCTGTGTGCCTGTTCTAATCTTTTTTCTAACGCAGATGTTTCTAACTTAACTACTAATTTCCATTTTTTGTCAGGTCTTAACAGTGTTCCTTGTTTTTCGAAGTAGAGTCCGGGATTGTGCTGAAACCGCGTTATTGTATACCCGGGTGACTCGATCTCGCTGTTTGAGCGAAGATCGATATGCAGATCACGAACAAAATTCTGTAAAGAGAAAATACCGTGATGTTTTAAACGTTTGGTTTTGCTACATTAGTTGGACTCAGAATACTGTTCTTTTTTTTGCGTGTGCTGTCTGTCTTATCTCTAGTCTCAGTTTCCTGTATCATTTTTCTGCTTACGCTAGAGTTTCTGTTGTTCTTGGTTGCTTGTAGTGATGAGTCTCGTCAGTTGCACCCTGTCTTTAGAACAGTTACCTGTTTCTAGTGTTAAAAATTCTTTTTGCTAATATTTACATTGTTGCTATGGCTAACGCTGTGATTAACGCCCCCCTCCTTGTGGTATGTGGGGTCGAGACCTCGTGGCCTCGCGTGTGTGATTGGTGTTGCGACTATGAACCCATCGTTGCCCTAGTGTCCAGCGAGTTTTGCTTTACTTGCTGGGCGGCCACCGCCCGGGTCATTTACATCTTGTCGCGGCACCTTCACCACGGGGACCACGTCCCGCCGATCAGCGACGGGCCCGGCATAAGCCACTACTGGCCCGTTGAGGGTCCAAGGTGCTGTTTTTTGCGAGCTCACCGAGCGAACCATGGTGTGTGCCGGGTGCGTGCGTCGGCAGCTTGTTGACGACGTCCTGTCCTCATCTGAGGAGTGTGGTTTGTGCCGTTCGGTCGTCGTTGACTGGATCGCCATGTTGGCGGACGACCCTCACCGGTCCACGGACGAGACCCCACAGAGACGTCCCGCGTAGGTGAACCCCTACGAGGCCGACCGGTAAGTCCTTAGTTTTCTATATAGTGTTTTAACCCATTTGCATGCACTTTTACTGCGCGTCTTCCCTTTTTTACGACGTACGTCACGTCGGAGATTTTTTCGACTACTACATACGGTCCGATCCATAACGCTTCGAGCTTTTTCGATCTTCCCCGTCTTACCGTTTCATCAAACAGAAGAACCTTATCTCCTACTTTGAATTCTACCGCTTTTACTTGTTTGTCGTATTGTTTTTTTGCTTTTATCTTTTTGTGTTTTAAATTTTCTCTGGCTATTTTGTTTGCAGCACGTATTCCTTCTTTTAACTCGTGAGCGTATTCTTCCATATTATAAGTTTTTTCGGGTGGTTTTGCCAACGTTGTCGGGAGTTCGGCTTGTCTCTTGTAGACTAGTTCGAACGGTGTGAATCCCGTCGCGGTATGTGGTGTAGTGTTATACGCGAACATGGCGTAGGGTACCCATTCGTCCCAGTCATTCTGTTCGTAACTGATAAAATTTCGAATATACTCGATTAACGTTCGATGCGATCTCTTAAGAGCTCCGTTACTCTGTGGATGATACGCGGTTGTTTGCGCTTTGTTAATTTTTAATAACTTGCATGTATTTTTAAATACATCACCTACAAAGTTCGTACCCTGATCCGTGAGAATTACTTCCGGGATTCCGTATTCGCAAATTATTTTTATCGCGAATTCCTTTGCTACGGTGTTGGCCTCTTGATTTGCTATCGGGATAGCCTTGCTAAATTTTGTTCAATTATCTTGAAATGTTAATAGACACTTATTTCCGTTGCTTGAAATCGGTAACGGTTCCACTATATCCAGCGCGCATTTTTCGAATGGTTTACGT